GAAAATGGCTTGGGCCCCAGTCTTCGTGGGCTTTAAAATCGGTCAGGATGGCCAGATACAAACTGTAATACAATATGTGAAGTCCCACACAACTGTTTCCCAGTCAGCACTTCAGTATTTTCAAATATCCGTGGCTTAGGCAGTGGTTTTTTACTTTTTGTCCTAAAAGTTAAAGATGTTAAGCACAGCTGAATTTTTTTGAGCCGATTGTTATTTATGTGTTAAGATTACTTCATACTTAAAACCCATCATTTGGCTAGAGTTGGCTTGGTTAGGGGTGTATGTGAACCACTATCCTAAGTTGTTGTATCACTGTCTCTTTTAGTATAATCTCCTGAAAGCAAGATCTGATTGCTTTAGATTGTCTCTATTTGAGCTAGACATTTGTACCGGGCCACAGGAGTCCAGGTCAAACTCTGGATCAGCTGCTGATCGGTTGGTTGTCCTTTATGTTTCAATTAACCATAACCTAGAGAGTCAGGGTCACTGTGGCCTATTGTTCAAATAACTGATTATGGGTAGGGAAGACAATAATAAACACACCTAGAATAATAATGAACTCACTCTGTCATCCTGGAAGGGTCTTCAGTACCTCCTGAAAATTTAGGGGCATTTAGTGAAGCTAAAATAGAGATTCTTCATAGAATTCTGGAGTTAAGACTTTTGAACATTTATGTTCTGCAGGTAGTAATAGCTACAATTATTCCAGCATTTATACTTACATACACTCTTTAGAATTGTAACTAATGAATTTACCATGTGCCTTTGAAGGATCTAGCTAAAATAAACTAATGGTTGCACTGTGGGTAAAGAATGAATGGATCCTCTGACACGGTCTCAAATAGCTCCTCAACCTCAGAAGAGTGAAGAGGGGCTATTTGAGGTCAATTCCAAGGACCTCCTAGAATATGATGCTGAGCCCTATGACGTCAAAAAATTCAGATAAAATATATAATCTGAACTAAAAATATTTGCAGGAGTATTTGTTCTTAAGTGCTCATAAATATTGTAAAGAGTTGAATTATCATAATGCTATTAATGAAGCAGGATATATACTTTTCTTTTTTCCCTTTTAAACTGCCTTTACCACAGGGAAGTACAAATGAGGTAAGTTGAATTTTTTAAATTAAGAGCTATATATTTATAAAAATTACTATGTTCTTATTTTGTAAACTAGCCATTAATGGATATCTCAATATAGATTAGGAAATCTCTGGTGACAACTGCTGTGTTCTAAGATTCACAATTTTAACTATGAATTTTTAACATGGTTTTAAATAATCTATTCCAGACATCTTATGTGATTTGATCAGGAATATCATGTGTTTTGTTTCCTGAATGTGTAGAAAATTTTGAAAGAATTTTTTAAATGTTTATTAGAGAGAGAGCATGTGCACACACAGACGTATGAGGGAGAGAAGGAGGGGTAGAGAGAATCCTAAGCAGGCTCCATGCTGTCAGCACGGAGCCTGATACCACGGGGCTGGCTCTCATGAACTGTGAGATCATGACCTGAACTGAAATCAAGGATTGGGTGCTCAACCAACTGAACCGCCCAGGTGCCCCCCCAAATCTCCAAATTCTGCAGTTACAACATTGTGTATTTTGTTGTCCTGGGAGTGCAACAAAATACAGTTACGAATCTTGAGGAAACTTAATTAGTAGAGAGTATTTAAATGGAACTACAACCTTTAGAAGTTGTTTTTAATTTTGGCTTTTGAGTGACCGTTACCTTTACCACTGTAAGCAGGTTCCGGGCCAGTGTGCAGTGTAACTTTCTTAGCATACCTCCGACAGGACCTGTAAGTTGTTCATATCTCCTGCACATGGGCAAAACTCTGTGTCTGAGGAAAGAATCTGAGCTTGCAGGAAGGAATCATTTGTTACATAAGAAAAACGATCTCTGTGGAGTTATTCTGGTCATTATCTTCAGGAAGCAAAACTGATCTTAACGAGAGATAGCACATAATTCTTTCCTCAGTTGCTGCTGTTACATGTAACTGAAGTATGTCCTCTAATTAATATCAATGACACATTTAATACAGGTCAATAAAGAATCATTTTATATAAAATTCAGTAAAACAAATTCATTAAAAAATAAAAGCAATCTAAGCTTTTAAGAGAACAGGGATTAAATTGAATGTTAGAATCTAATATGATAGATCTAGGGCAACACCATTTATGCATTTATACCCATATGCATTCATAAAACCAATGATGGTATTACTTAGACTTAAGAAAACAGCCATAAAAACTTCAAAAATATAAAAAAAAAAAATAATGGAATTTCCTGGGCATTGGTTACTATTTAGAGGATATCAAGCTTTTACCCAGCTTTTAAAAATATTCAGACTCTGGGCGCCTGGGTGGCGCAGTCGGTTAAGCGTCTGACTTCAGCCAGGTCACGATCTCGCGGTCCGTGAGTTCGAGCCCCGCGTCGGGCTCTGGGCTGATGGCTCAGAGTCTGGAGCCTGTTTCCGATTCTGTGTCTCCCTCTCTCTCTGCCCCTCCCCCGTTCATGCTCTGTCTCTCTCTGTCCCAAAAACAAATAAACGTTGAAAAAAACAAATTAAAAAAAAAATATATTCAGACTCAAGGGTTGCCTGGGTGGCTCATTCGGTTAAGCGTCCAACTTCGGCCCAGGTCATGATCTCACCGGTTTGTGGGTTTGAGCCCCGTGTTGGGCTCTGTGCTGACAGCTCAGAGCCTGGAGCCTGCTTCAGATTCTGTCTCTCTATCTCTCTCCCCTCCTCACCCTCTCTCTCAAAAAGAAATGAGTATTAAAAATACATATTAAAAATATTCAGATTCTTTACAGACCAGAATTACATCAGTAAGTTGATTTTAACTGGGTGTTCAATATGTGAAAGTGCGAGGGGGGAATGAATCTTAGACATTTGCTGAGGGGGAAAAAGGACAAAAATATTTATGGACACTTATGTAAAGCAGTATGTAAAAATTCCTATGATTCAAACACTGTTGACACAAAGAACAATCACAGTTTTAATGAGCAAAGGCTTTCTGAGGTAATGCTTCTGAAAAACGTTTTGTAAGATATAAACCAAGTAAGGGAAACAAGGCAAAAGAGCATGTTTAACTGAAGGATCCCAGTGGCAAGGGGAGGGCAACATGTGCTTATTTACATGACCGTATCAGGAAATAATGGAAAATAAAAATGGCCCCATTCTGAAAAACCTGTAAGGAAGCCCAGAGAGCAAGTGACCTACCTGTGTATAATAAAGCATCTATTGGCAGTCAGAGGTTATGAGCTCCTCTAATTCCTCCAAAACCAATAATATGCACAATATGAGTTCCCAACACATTCCTCAACTGGAGCACAGTATTTAGGAAGCTCTGCTCCAAAAGGTGTGCAAGGTAAAAGGAAATGCAGTCTGAGAATAAAACATTTACCACAAAGATCAATCCACAAAAGCAAAAACGCATACACAGTGGAGAGGTGAAGATACTTTGGAGTTCTAAGATTATTAGTTATGAATTTGTATCTTATATAGATTAAAGATCTAAAGATTCCACATTTAGCATGCTAAATTTTACATAGTACCATAAACTAATTACACTAAAAAGGAAAAATTTTATATCTCTGTGTTTATACTCTTGATTCTTATATTTCTAGGCTTTATACAAGCTTTACAGTGCAGCAGCAACCCACAGACATCTGTATCATCAAGCTTTTCCTGCGCCAAAGTCAGAATCTACTGAACAATCAGAAAAGAAGAAAATTTAATCTAAATTTTTAGAAATACAGGTGCATGACCAACTGTCAGTTAAATACTCAGTTTTCTGTCTCCATGCAAACATTCAAAGTGCTTCTATCAGGACAGAGTAAAATACCGAGCTCCTCTGAAAACTTCAAAATGGTTTAGTTCTTTTACTTCAGTGTTTAATAAGCAGATGTATGTATGCATGGTTATATCACTTTGTTAACATGTACAGTTTCCTGATTTTGTCTTCAAATATGCTGTTATAATTTCAAGTATTTGTCTATTTATGATGACAGTACATGTGTTCTGCTTGAATTTACTAAATTCTACTACTGGGTTATAATTAAACCATGTAGTAATATTACTCCATGTTTGGATATGCTCATTTAATTTCCACAGAAGAATTTAAAACTTATTTCCCATAGTCATCCATTTAATCATAGCATCATAACTCAGCAGGCTCATAACTCAGCAGGCTTGATTCAATCTATGTCATCTTCTATATACCATGAGCTTTTATTTTTAAAGACATTTCAGAGAGCTTTTCAGTTGCTTTATCAATGACTAAATACTGCTTCTTTTATATTATGATTTAACATAGAATATAAACTTCTGGATCAAAATGCACAAAAAAATCACTTTGTATATGTACTTGAGTTTCACTGCATTGTATATTTTTTCATTTGGTACACAAAGAAATGTATTCTTCATAGGTTTATTCTTTTAACATGTGAACTATTATTAAAGTTTACTCTGGTTCCTAAGATTAAAAACAAATGCTTACTGAATTTGGAAATGTTTGGGAGGTATTAATATAGAATGATAAAAGTTTAGCTCTCTTTTAAAAATTAAAATGCATTTTTCTTCAGTGTTGACACCACTGCAAACACACATTTCCACTTTAATCCACTAATCCCTTTTAAGGTAACTTTCAGTTCTTTTAAACCAGCGATTCTATAATCTGGGAGCTCTAAAACAGTAATTTCTAACTTTCTTAGAAATGGTTAAGTTTAATTAAATAATTAAATAGTCAGACAAAGTAAGTAGTAACAGGAAAGAACAATGAAGATAGAAGACTGTGTGAGAGTTCATAAGATATTTGAAAAGTTTGATTACATGTTCTGAAAGATAACTTTCCCAACTGCTAACATCCCACTACATATTTTCCTTTTTCAATGTCCCTTTCATTATACCGCTTCCTTTGCCTTTGGGCCTTCTGAATGGAAAAATCAAGTATTTGCAGCACTATGTAAAAGACATGGATTCAAACACGACACATTTAATTTCCACAAAAATATATTTAATAAGCTTGTTATATAAAACCAAACATTTAACATTTTCAACATTTTATCAATTCAAACTCACTGGTAACTGGGAGTGCTCTATTTTGGAAGATTACCTAAACATATATTTACATATTTACAACACAGGTAAATATAACTGAAGAGCTACTTCAACTAATGTTGAAATTCACAGAATTCTAGAGATTTATAGGCTAAAAGTGCCATAAATTTATCTGTAGTCAAATGTACTGCACTAATTATGAACAATATCTTAGTAAGTATTAAAAGGAAAAAAACCTGGGAGGGAAATGGTGATCTTAAAGTTCTGTGACAAACTCTTAGAAGATACGTGAAATCAATTTAATGACCAAGATTTCTTGACGGGTCCCTGATTGTCATTTTTGGCAGCTCAACCCAGTCTGTTGAGATGGCAGTGTGCTATATGCTGTCCGGAACCCTGCACTGTCTCATCAGAGCCATGCTCCTAAATGCTCCAAGGGCCCTGGTCAAAAGTAAGGAAATGATAGCAACTCTGAGTGCTGTATACACCTTTCCCATACAGCCTAAGGCCTTATGCCTAAATTTATTACTAAAAGATTACAGGCCTTTTACCCTTTCATACCAAAAAATACATTCTTACCATGTTTTAAAAGGGTTCTTTCTTTCCATTTTGGGAGGAGGTGAACCCTATGCATTATATATAGAAATATATCACAATTAAGGTCCCAAATCCTATTTTGCATTTTAAACTATGCAATAATAATATTTAAACCATCTGATTTCAGACAATATTCCACATTAAAGCAGTACACATCTGTTTTCAAATACTGCATAGGTTGTTTTTTAAAGAAATGTACTGCTGCTGTATGAGTTTACCAAGTGATCATTTCCTATTTACTCTCTGGTTATAATCACATTTCTTGCTGCATTTGTCTCCACTGAGAATATTCAAAGCAGTTTCTAATATATAGCGTTTTAGAAGTGTTTGCTGTGTTGGCTTTTAAATGATAAACATTTTTTTGCTCAATAAAATAATATTTTTAATAACAAAATACATGTAAAATTAGAATTTTATCATTTCCAAAAAAGTTGCCTTTATTAACCAAAGTACTTGTTTGCAGTTTTTTATCTGTGAAAATATTTTAAAGCCCTTACAAAAACCTAAATTTTATTTAAAAAAAATTTAACTTAAAAATTCTTGCCATGTTGTTGAGCATACCACTGCTGTCTCTGCTTGCGGTTTTCCAACTCTGTGAGCAGAGCCTGTCTGTAGGCTTCATACATTTTAACAATCTGTTCCAGTTCTTTCATGAAAAGCAACTTTAGCATTCCCTGGTATGTATCCAGGTCAGCCAGTTGGAAGAGTTCCCACTTGAGAATGTGGTCATATCTGTTTTAAAACATAATCATGCATATGTTCACAACACATACAGAAACAGGTATTGACAGCAACAAAATAATCTATTTTTATAAAGATCAACTTTATTATATCTAACAAACCATAAGCTTTAATTAAAAATAACTGAGTTGTTAACTTATTTAAACAGACTATCTTTTTAGGGAGAGGAGAAAACTGCTGATACTACTTCGTTTCAATTTAAGTTAAAAAATACCCATTTCTTTAATCTTTATCAATTATTCTAATGGTAACATTAGACAACAATTAACACAGATTTCAGACCACTGTGGTTCTGTAATTTCAGAAAAACACACATGCTATTGCTGTTCGTAAGTTCATCTAAAGTTAACTATCAGGACTTAAGAATGCTGTAGACCACATTATGCCTGAAAATAATATACAAAACTGGGCAAAGTCACTGTGTCATTAGTGTTGATAGAGCTTTCTGAAGAATGCTATCACTACAGTAAACAAGGAACTAAAAGGAGAATGAAAAGGAACCATCATTTGTGGGCTTTTTTCCTGAGGTGAGTATACACTATTAAAACAGAAAAACTCAATCAGAAAGGGAAGAATAAGTTATTTTCAAAATGAGAGTAAGTATACTGTAGAAGTGTGTGGAGAAGGACTCCTGTAAGATTCTATTTACATATATCTTAGAAGGCTTTTTAGTCCTTCAATGGTAAGTTGGTCCCATACTGAGAGGGAAGTAGTAAGTAATAAAAAGGAGTAATTTACACTCTATATTGAAAGACCTGAAGCCATCACTCTACTCCCAATTTCCCCATTTTACAGATGAAAAAACTGAAACCTAAAGAGGGTATATCTCTCTTGCAAGATTGTTTAGTGACTAAAAAATCAGAAAGGTGGAGAGTAATAGTTTTTAATGTTAAGTTTAGACAAAGAACTTGAAGTTCTTCTCAAATCATATTGCACAACAGATACAATAGGAAGCTTTGATTGTAAATTCTAGTAAATTTATTATTAATAGTTACATTTCCTACCCAATGATTCTTTGGTAATTCACTTACCATCTTATTCCAAAAGTATCATCTAATATATTTTTAAAAAGGGAAACCGTAAACAAATAATGAGCAGTCAATATGAGCCACACTGACATATTTCTGTACAACTTGGGTACATGTACCATGAACCCCAGGAGCACAATATGCAGAACCACAAGGTAAATATATCTTGTGGGATCCTAAATTTACCCATTTAATTACTTGAGTGCTGCAAATCTAACAGGTATAGTTGGTAGAAAGCTTTATATTCTCTTTAGTGGGAAACTCCAATATAAATAAGAGAGATACTATAAGAAATACTCAATGAGCCTCTATGAAATAACAGTTACAAGGTATTTCCTAGAACCTCTGCCATGCATGTAGCTTAAGATCTTATTTGTTTGAGACAAATTCATGATTTCTAGCAAAAAAAAAACAAAAAAAACAAAAAAAACCACTTCAGGTCAGAATTCCATAGCTAAAGGACATTGCAGCAATGTCTATTAGATTCAAGATGCTTAAATTGATGACGACAGTTGGAACTATAATAACATTAAAGCTCATTTATCATCTGTGTACTTTCTAGCAAGGAAATAGAAGGGAGAGGATAAATTAGTAAGTATCACACTTGTTTTAAGATAGGACTATCACTCTAGAAGCATTCAAATTTTGAAAAAAGGAAAGAAAAATAGCTTCACACAATTTTCTGACTTCCCAATCACTGCATTTAGCATCAAAAACAGGATTAAGGGTAGAAACAACAAAATCAGAATAATTACAGAAAATCCATTGGGAAGAAGAAAAAGCACTCCAGAAGAGCAGAGATGAGAAAAGTATGCAATTTGCCAATTCCCAGTCCAAAGTCTTGCCCCCTTGCTATTTCTATGGCATTACTTCCCTTCTCATATAAAACTTCCCAATATGCCTGTTTTGTTTTGTTTTTTAGGAGAAGTAAATATTTTCCATTCTTTGCTTCTTAACTAGCCAAATTATCTGATTCCCCAGGCTTAATTTTTAGTCACTTATATAATATATAGGTAAATCATTCAGAAAATAGGCTGTAAACTACTTCAGTAGCCTATACTTAGTTTCTCTTTTTGCTGTTTTTCCTAGGGCAGTATTCTATTCAAGTAATTTCTTATAAATAACTCACACATGCAAATATCAGTTGCTGTCGTCCTACCAAAAAATTGTGTTCATACTCCAGGGAATGCTGTCTTTAAGGAGCCAAAAGTCCTACTACTTCCAGCTCCAGGGACATGCAGCCTATGTCCCTTCATTGTGCCTGTCCTGCCTGTAACATTCTTCCTTTCTACCCACACCCAGAGCTGGGGCAAGACAACACTGCAGGACCGCCAAGCCGTAAGGAATAAAATACAGTCCATGCGAAGGTGATGCTCGGACTGGTGTTGGGGTACGTGTGTATGAGGAACAATGGAAAGTAAATATGCTCCTGATGGCTTTTTCCTGTTATATATTAAACCTTATAACTTACTCTAGAGTTCAGCTTGATTACAGCTATATGATGCATTACAGACTTCTGAGTAGCCTCAGAAATACAACTTCACTGGGGCGCCTGGATGGCTCAGTTGGTTAGGCATCCGACTTCAGCTCAGGTCACGATCTCAGTTTGTGAGTTTGAGCCCCATATCGGGCTCTGTGCTGACAGCTCGGAACACGGAGCCTGCTTAGGATTCTGTGTCTCTGTCTCTCTCTGCCTTCCCCCACTCACATTCTGTCTCTGTGTCTCTCAAAAATAAGTAAAAACATTAAAAAAAAAATACAACTTCACTAAAATTCATCAATAAAAATTTGGAACAATCTAAGTCAAATTCTGGAAGTATATGCAAAATTGTTTTGGTAAATTACTGCTAGAGACAGAATTTTTAAATTTCTGGAAATCAGATTGGCAACTTAACAAAAGGAGAAAAGATGGTAGTTTTTTGGCTAAAACCTCTCCTTTGATAAGTAAATGAGTCTCCATTATCTACTTCATAGAGAACAGCTCATCCTTTGTTGATAGAACAATATCAACTATTTCCATTCTTTTTAGAGACAAAAATTTTGGACCAACTAAAAAGTAACAGGTTCCTAACACTCTTAAGTTTTTAAGCCATAAAGAAGTACTTGCTCTCTTGTTTCAGTCTGGCCTATTCTGAGAGTTCTGACCTATTTGGGGGAAAAAAAAAAAAACTAAGTTGTTAATTTCGTAAAGTTTTATAGCTAGCTCACAGAACCAGAGTTGAAAGGGCTATGATCTCTGGGAGTCTGTTTCTTTTCATAAGAAGCAAGGAATTTCACTTACGTACTATCTTTTTCTTCCAAAAGGAGAGCTTTTTTTGTTATTCCTAATGATGATTATAAAGTAGAACTAACATAAAGTAGGAAGAATAACCCTCCTCGATCTTATCAACTCCCAGAAATAACAAAATTTAACAGGCACATATTCTTCCAGACTTAAGGAACACATAAATAGGCATATTCTGTAGGACATAATACTAGCATATGAACAAAGGCTGTACACAGTGATAGGTCAACTGATACCAAGAGTGAAAAAAGAGGGAAAAAGGGATGAAAAGTCCATCTGCTATTATTCCTTATTCCATTCCTATACTGTATAGATACAATCAGATAAAGAGGCTTCAGTAGGTTAGCCCAGGCACCAAACCAAGCTAAACATCTATGGATAATTAGGTACCTAATTTCAAATAACCTAAAACCAAACTTTTGAAAAGTACTGTTTATATCTTGCAAAATAATATCTATAATTAAAACCTTTTAAAAAATTATGTTATCAAGGCTTAAATTTGACTTAGGGGGAAAAAAAAGACCCTCCAAGATTGTTTTGTCTCCATATCAGACCACAGATTAACACCCATGAATTTACAGACTGAGAAGAATGTTTATGTTGGCCAAAAATTAATAAATAGTTCATAATAAAAGGCCAATAACTTTATGAGAATGTTAATGTGGTCTAAATGAGCAGAATCATGATCAAATAACTATGAGATCCTTGAGGTAACCTATCAATTATTCAAATGAAAAGCCTGAAAAGAAGATAATAAAAACAAACAGCTCTAAGCAAGAAAAATAACTTCTAAAATCTCTAGGTCTAGGCTAAAGGCATACACATATGCATGATTGAATGCAGATGCACACACGGTTGGTAAACACAGAGTAACATGGCAAAAATTTAGATCAGAGTTGGCTTAACCCCCTGCAAATTTTATTTCAATGATCATCCTTCAAAAGTATGGTTAAAAGTTACTATTTCAAAAAATATATATGAAAGGTTTTACATTCCTTTCACTTGAATCTCAAAGATTTAATTTTTTTTCCCCAAATTCACTGCCCAATCATCTTATACTCTCTAAAACTCTTCTTTGGGCTATTTTATACTGATAATTTTGGTTTCTTAAATACAAAAAAGAAATAAAGAATAAGACTACAAAAACAAGCAACTAAATGTTACCTTAACAGAGTTGTTAGAAGTACATGCAATTATTACGTGTGAAATGCCTAGACAAGTAACAAGAATTTATTAGCTGCTCAGTATGTAATAATTTATTAAATCAGAGCATTATTAATTACAAAAATTAAGAGCATGATCTTTGTAACTAGAGATAAAAGTCTGAAATCTGCCACTTAATAGTTGTATGACCTTAGCAGCGATAAAGCCTCCATTTTTTAATATTTTTTAACCTGTAAAATGGTTTTAGAAAGATTATATGAGATAACATACATAAAAACTAGCACCCTAAGATACATGGGAAGCACTGGATAATTAATAACTTTATTTTCAAACACCCCCTTTTCTGAAATCATAGCACTTTGTATATACCAGTGTTACTAATCTTATCACATTGGGTTACTGACCTAGTACCTACTTCTATTTTCCCAGACGAGAAAGGCTCTTTAAGCCTGGCAAATTCACAGACATCTTTAAAAACTGGCCCACCTAGCATTTTCTTCTTCAGTGCAGCTTTACTAGCTCCAATCCATAGTAAGAAACCATACTAAGTGCTTACACAAGGCAGCCACCATGCCATGTGCTTTAAAATGTGTGATCATTTATGAATAAAAAAAAAAAAAAATGTGATCATTTATCCCCCACAGTTCAGTAGAAGAAAAAAACTTAATTCTAAGTTTAGGAACCTGTCCAAGGTCATTCAGTAAGTAGGTGATGGAGCCAGAAATCAGACTTAGTTTCCTTCCTGACCAATCTTGACCACTCTTCTATACCTCTGCCCCCAATCATCATCATCAGCAGCAGCAGCAGCAGCATCATCATCATCTTTACTAAGCTCTCAATGTACAAGGTACTGTTCATAAAAAATACTTTAGATGCACTATTTTATTGAAATCTTAATAACCTTAAGAATAGGTACTATTACTATCCTCAATTTACAGAAGATAAAACTAAGTTAAGTACTCTGGCACAGGGTTACACAGCTAAAAAGTATCAGTAAACTCAAATAATCTCATATCAGAACTTACAGCCACTACATATATTATTTCCTCAACACCCTCGTATCCTGCTGTTTCTTCCTTGTACCCAGGACTTACCTGGGTCCTTACTTTTATCACAAGGTACGTATCACTTATATACAAGTTAATCTACCCGCTATGAGAATGTAAGCTCCTTACTGTATCCCTAATATAGCCCAGGTCTGCGAACAAAGAAAGATTTAATAAATGTCTGCAGAACTTGTATTTGTAGCAAATGATCTTTAAACTTTATAACCTGTGATAGCTGTTCCTCAAGTAAAATATTAGTTAAAAGCCCAATATTATTAAGAGAAAAAAAAAGGTGCTACCGCTCACCCCTCAATAAAACTCTGTGCTATAAATTCACTTACTTCACAGGAGCTCGAGCATATACCTGAAGCCAGTCAGGAATTTCTGCAGTATGGTACGGATTTGCAGGTACCAGCAGGGACTGATTTCTTTCAGTTTGCTGTGGTTGATATGTGACAGGAGGGGGCTGATCATACCGAGGTACACTAAGAAAAAAGAATCAACATTCATCAGGATAAAGGCTCTAAATCTAAACAAGAAATTATAAAGAATATTATTTGATGTTTTTCAATGTGCCTCTTGCCTAAACTGAACTCCTTCTACCATATAAAAAAACAGAGATGTGCCTTTTGTTTTTTACTATAGCAGAAGAGGAGTAAAATCCACCTTCTCCAGGAAAATAACAGGTCATTAGTGATAGATCGAAATCTAAACTAAATCTTTACATATGTTTAAGAAATTTCTTCTGTCTAGTATTTAGTCTTTTCAAGGAATGTCAAAGGAGGCCATAAAAAATCTGGAGATAAATTATAACCTTCATAACAGAAACTTAAAATTAGAATTATAATTTTCAGTAATAACTAGTAACTAGCTATACATTTATATTGGAAAGGTTGGTAGTTTCTCTCAAAATGAGAATGGATATGTTCTTCCTCCTTCAGGCTGAAAAGAAGGTCTGGAAGATGTAGTACTGTAAGAGTGAGGACTGGGCTTGAAATATCCACATTAACTGTAGTATTTCCTTTCTGCATTTATCAACTTACCAAAGTTAGAATTGATTAGAACTCATTTTAAATCACAGAGACTTAAAAAAAAAAAAGACCATGCTTTTAATTAGTTCTAATGGCCTAACGGGTTGGACAGAGAGAACAGCAAAGTGGGGAGAGAACTGTTATATGGGAAAATGGTAAGGAAAAATACTGAACCACTTGAAGGCTAAAGACAGAAATCTGGGAGATCAAAATGATCTATTTCAGAATTGGAGACAAAACCAGATGAGCCTGCCCCAAACATCAATATTTATGTGTATACCAGAAAAGGTCACTACAATACTAAACTAGGATTAAAATAAATGTTAGAGGGGCGCCTGGGTGGCGCAGTCGGTTAAGCGTCCGACTTCAGCCAGGTCACGATCTCGCGGTCCGTGAGTTCGAGCCCCGCGTCGGGCTCTGGGCTGATGGCTCAGAGCCTGGAGCCTGTTTCCGATTCTGTGTCTCCCTCTCTCTCTGCCCCTCCCCCGCTCACACTCTGTCTTTCTGTCTCTCAAAAAAAAATAAACATTAAAAAAAAATAATAATAATAAATGTTAGAGTGTGATTAACAATTTAAAGATCAATATCCACTGAGTTCTACTCCTGAAACCAATACTACACTGTATGTTAACTTGAATTTAAAAAAAAATAAAGATCAATATCCAAATGGTATTGTGTTTTATCCTTATCTGTTCTTTCTAAGTAGGTACAAAGTAAAATATCCCTTGATAGTGCAACTGGGAGGTGGAAAAGAACTGCGGCTCTGCAGTCAAATATGCCTGGAGGGTTTTAACCTCAGGTTGGGCACCTTACAAGTTATATGAATGTAGGCAGAACTGCTTCACTTTTCTAACTTTCAGCCTCCTTACTTGTAAATTTGGAATAAATTCATACCAAAGATGATTGTTCTCAACAGTAAATGAGCTAATGTAAGTCAAGAGTTTTGTATATAGATTAGCATAACAGAGATAAACAGCTATTAATATTATCTATGTGAGCTTAAGAAAGGTGTTTATTCTCTCCTGTTTAATGTCTACAGAGTTGCTAAGAGAAGCAAATTGTGAAAATACTTTGTAAATTAACAATTCCATAGTAAAAGTTACTGATGACAAACAGAAAATTCAGCTCAAGGTGGCTTGGTAGGTTAAGCAACCGACTCTTGATTTTGGTTCAGGTCATGATCTCAAAGTCGTGAGATGGAGCCTGCGTGAGCCTCAGCACAAAGCCTGCTTAGGATTCTCTGCCCCTCCCCCACTTGTGCTCTTGCACATGCATGTGCCCTTGTTCTCTCTCAAAATAAATAAACTTAAAAAAAAAAAAAACAACAGCTCAATATACTCCCAAATCTGGTTGTCAGGACCACAAAGTCTTCTGCCACCAGGTGATAGCAATCTGTCATCACATTTGGTTTTTCGGTTTTGTTTGTTTGTTTTTGCATTTCCCATCATTATTCATCAACAAACATCACTGTGCTCCCACTATGTGCCTGTCTCTGTGTTGGACGCTGGGACACAGCAGGAATAAGTGGAACTCATCCCTGCTCTTGGGTGGGAATTGTGATCAGGTGGAAGCGGGAGACTCAAAATTACCCCCATGACATAGGCCTGAAAATGGAGTCCAGGGAAGGCAGCAGCTTGCCTGAGATGGTATAGAGAGTAGGTGAAGGGACCAGAGCCCAAAATAGGCAGAGTGGCCAGTCTGCCTCTTTTGAAAGGATGGCAATTTCATTTGTTCAATAAACAATGATTGAATGTCACTAAATGGAATCACTGGGGAAAAAAACTTTTCAAAGTTGAATTAATAAATCCAAATATGTAAAATGATTAAAATAACATAATAATGATAAAGCTTAGTTTTTTAGGTGATATTAAAATCTATTTTCACAACAATTTTAATGGTTCTAAAAAATGCCAAAGTTTATCATCACCAAAGATCTGCGTTATGCTAGATATTAAGGAACATCTATCAACATGCTGACGATATTCTATGCATTTTAAATCTTATGGTTCAGAGAGAGTTAACAGGAAATATTTTCAATTTCATTAGTAAACTAATACTAGCTTTTTATGTACTTTGAAATCCAGTGTGTATCTTACATTTACACACAATATACCTCAATTTAGATTAATTACATTTCAAATGCTCAGGAGTCACATGTGACAGCTGGCTACAGTAGTCACAGGACTAGAAATCTGACCATAAATGAGATCTACAGGATAAGCCCAAAGGATCACTGGCTACATTTGTTTATTTTTATTAGAAAAAAATTTTTAATGTCTATTTATTTTGAGAGAGAGAGGGCAAGTGGGGGAGGGGCAGAGAGAGAGGGAGAGAGAGAATCCCAAGCAGGCTCTGTGCTCTCAATGCAAAGCCTGACATGGGGCTTCAACCCACAAACTGTAAGATCATGAACTGAGCCGAAATCAAGAGTCAGATGCTCAACTGACTGAGCCACCCAGGTGCTCCTCACTGGCTAAATTTATTAAAAAGATCTGGGATGTTTTGTACAGTTCCAATTTTCACTTTCTTGCCTCACAACAGTAAGAAACAGAACATAAGTGTCAGAAACTGAGTAAAACAGTAAGATGTTATAATTCAGAAGAATATTTTGACACACTAGGAGGAAGGTCTGTATTATTTATAGAAATTGAAATGTACATAGATAAATGTTTTATTTATTTATTTATTTATATTTCTGGATATCTACAATCTAAACACTGGCATATTAAAGCAAAATCTGATCATAAGAATAATGATCGTGTTTTTGAGTTTGTCTAAAAAGTTTTTTTTATATATATAAAGCTTATTTTGAGAGACAGAGAATGAGTGAGTGCTTGGGGGAGGGGCAGATAGAGAGAGAAGAAGAAGAAGAAGAAGAAGAAGAAGAAGAAGGAGAAAGAGAGAGAAAAAGAGAGAGAGAGAGAGAGAGAGAGAGAGAGAGAGAGAGAGAGAGAGAATTCCAAGCAGGCTCCACACAGTCAGTGCAGAGCCTGGTGCGTGGCTTGAACTCACTAACTGTGAGATCATGACCTGAGCCGAAATCAAGAGTCAGGCACTAGTTAACTGGCTGAGCCACCAGGCATCCCTTGTTTTTTGTCTTTAAAGATTTTATTTGAAAGTAATCTCTACTCCCAACATGGGGGTCAAACTCACAACCCCCATATCAAGAGTCGCACACTCTACTGAACCAGCCAGGTGCCCCTAAAAAAAATTTTTTTTTAATTATTAAAACCGTTACTGAATCTAAGTCCTAAGAAAAATGTCATAAACTTTTAAAAATAAATCTTTCAAATATCAAACTTCAGGATGCCTTTCTCTTTAACGAAAATAGAAATTCAAAATCTAACATTAGATAACCTCAATAAAAAAACTTAAAAATAGAAGTGAAACTATACCTAGGAGCACAAGGATGCCTATATTGAGCCTTCTTATTTGTGTGATCCACGTAATAGGTTCCAAATTCTGATGACTCAACTCGCTCCCATCCTGGAGGAAGTCCTTCTCGCTCAAGAGGATGGCTCCAATGAGTTGTATTTGTGTTGTGATCTATATAATATTTTCTCCCTCTCATTGTCCAGTCCACAGACCAGCCAGGAGGAAGAGGTAAATCTTCAGAACCATGGTTAGTTAAATTTCCTAAAGATGTAGCAGCAACTCTCCCAATTCCTGGGGATAAAGAGAGAAAAAGAACAGAACAATTATTCAAAGCTAAAAAATATGCCATAGGAGAAACAGTTACAAAATCAACTATCCTGCTTATACTCTTTGGCCAAAATCCATGATTTCATAATTATAAATAAAAATTTTCATGAAACTAGCCAGTATTACTAATGTTTAATTACAAAAAAAGGGAGGAAACTAGATTTCCTCTTTGAAATTAGTTTTTTTTTGGTTGATGCCTCCATCACCAGGCTATATAAACATTTAGCTATTAGCAAAGCTACTTAAGTATGTATATTGCTAAAGGAAAAGTGAGGAAAATAAAATTTCACCCCATTCAAGATTTAAGATTTGACATCTCACCTAAAACAGCAAAAATAAATTTGTAAAACTGTTTCTGGTTTATGATTATTTAAATATAATCTAGCTGTGCCCTAGAACCATTAAGTAAATTTATCAAGGTAGCATCATATGAGATCAACACACAAAAATCAATTAAATATCTGTATACTAGCAACAACTGGAAACAGATTATACCACTTACTATAGCTCCAAAAAATCAAATATTTACATATTAATAAAACAAAATATAGACAACAAATTACATGAAGAATCTGTATGCTGAAAACTACAAAACACTGATGAGAGAACTGAAAGATGACCTATCATGTTAATGGACTGGAAGACTCAACATAAAGATGCCAATTCTTCCTGAAATGACCTTTAAGATAATTCCACTCATAAGTCCAGCAGGAGTTTTATAGATACAGACAGAAATAGGCAGACTCTAAAATGTATATGGAAAGACAAAAGAACTACAGAAGCCAAGAAAAAATTTTGTTTTAATTATTTTTAATGTTTATTTTTCAGAGAGAGAGAGAGACAGAGAGAGATCAAAATTGAGCAGGAGAGGGGTAGACAGAGGGAGACACAGAATCTGAAGTAGGTTCCAGGCTCTGAGCTGTCAGCACAAAGCCCAATGCCGGGGCTCAAACTCACGAACCATGAAATCAGGACCTGAGGTGAAGTTGGACACTTAACCAACAAGCCACCCAGGTGCTCCAAAGAGCCAAAAATTAAAAAAAAAAAAAAAAAAAAAAAATAAGAACAACGTTGGAGGATTCAAGCTACCTGATTTCTTTTTTAAAGTAATCTCTATGCCCAGGGTGGGGCTCAAACTCATGATCCTAAGATCAAGAGTCACATGCTCTACCAACTGAGACAGCCAGGTTCCCCTTATATTACCTGACTTAAGAATTAAAACAGTGTGGTATTGGCAAAGGACAAACAGATCAATGGAACAAAGAATCCTAAAATATACCTACACATACACTATCAATTGGTTTTAACAAAGATGAAAAGACAATTTGATAAAGGATAGTTTTTTCAACAAATGGTGTTAGAATTGGACATCTATATGCAAAAAAATTAATCTATACATTCTACCTTCTATAAACCTAAGAGGGATCATATACCTAAGCATAAAACATAAAACTATAAACCTTTAAGAAAAAAAAAGGAGGATAAATTTTTGTGACCTTACATTAGGCAGAGTTCTTATATGCTGAAAGTGTAACCTATAAAAGAACCTGTATACAAATGTTCACAGCAGCTTTATTCATAAAAGGCAAAAACTGGAAACAGCCCAGATTCTTCAATAAGTGAATGGGTTAAATGAACTCTGATACATATATAACCCAGAATACTATTTGGCAATAGAAAGAGGAACTATGATACATACACCAATTTATATCAATCTCTAGGGAATTTTGCTGAGTGAAAAATGCCAATCTATCTCAAAAGGTTACATGCTGTATAATTATATAACATTTTTGAAATGATAAAATTTTAGAAATGGAGAAGAGTGATTATTTGCCAAGGTTGGAAAGAGAGGTGAGTGTGGTTATAAAAGGGCAAACATAAAAGATCCTTGTGGTGACAGAACTCTTGTGTCTTTACTATGGTGGTGAAATACACAATCTACACTACACACACACACACACACACACACACACACACACACACACACACACAAAGTGTTCAAGTAAAGTAAAACTAGGGAAATCTGAACATGATGGATGCATTGCACCGAGGTCAACATCTTAGCTATACTATAGTTTTGCAAAGTGTTCAGCAATGGGGGAAACTAAAGTGTACAGAGGATCTAAGTTATTTCTTACAACTGCATATGAATCTACAATTATCTTGATAAAAGCTTTAAAAAACAAAGAGGCATAACCTTTAGATTCAATATACATGTAATAACTGCCAAAAATATCTGAGATAGAGTAAGAAGAGTAAAGAAAGAAATAGAGATAAGAAGAGAGCACTGTGAAAAACTAGTTAGCCCAAAATACTACTCTGGTATTTTCTCATTTTCCCTCCACAACCTTCCACAATGCTTCCATCTCTAGCAATCATAGGAGGAGATTTCAAACAACTGGCAAATAAAAACTTAATTTATTCAATATGTATAATAAGACCAGTACAACATCAATTCTTAAGAAAAATTAAAGAGTTCTTCAAAAAGGTACAAATTTATTTAAATGAACATTCAGAAAAATGTCCCAAAGCAGAGGGGGAAAATAATGCAACTAAATATTCTCCCATTAATTAAAAGAAAAAGAGGAGGAAGCAATCAACTCTCTGAAGGAAGATCACAAGGAAAAGCAAGAACCCCAAAGATAGGATGGTAAGACAACAAAGATAAAAGCTATGCTCAGGAAAGAAAGATGAAGACAAAAAAATGGAAGAACAAACATGCAATGTTTGTTACAATGGAGAAACCTGGCAAATCTTAACCAAGTATGAATGTCAGTTATCACCAGTAATGTCATATACATATCATGTACACCTCCCTATATTTGACACTAAGAGGATATTCCACTTTTGTGGCATTCTTTCCAAAAACGAAAATCCCAGTCTAATCATGAGAAAAACAGGAGACAAACTCTAAATTGAAGGATGATCCACAAAATATCTGACAAGTATTCCTCACAACTATCAAGGTTGTGAAAAACAAGAAAGGAATAAACAGTTGTCATAGACCAAAGAACACTAAGGAAACATGACAATTAAATGCAACAATTTGATAAGGGAGCCAAGATGTCCACAAAGTTCCAAAATGGCTCATCACCTTTACCAATGCCATATTAAACCATGATTCCTAACCTTTTCATGACACACCCCACCTACACTTTCTCAAAGTATTATGTGCACTAATTTTTTTTTTCAAACTATTTGGGATAATTTTATAAAACCCATTGAGAGAAGAATGTACAGTACAAAATAACTCAAAACCACAGATTTAAAACAAAACATTCCTAGTAATAAAATAGGTCTAGCAGACAGGGAAAAAAAGCTGTATCAAGCTCTAGCACATGAGACCCCCCACTCTAAGTTCAGCCAGAATGCTGAAACTTCAATAACCAAACATGCCAAATCTGAAAAAAGCATGCAAGGGCACATTAACACTCTTACAAAGGGAATGAGCACTGACAATTACTAGTGTCTCCTCTGTCCCTGGCCTTTTCCAAATGAAGTAGTTCATACACAAAATAACTCTAAGGTAGTAGTATCACTACCAATTTACAGACGAGGAAACAAAGATTCAAGTAAGTTATTTTACCAAAACCACAGAGTTGGTACATGGTCAAATGACGAATTTATTACTAACAAAGTGTCACACAAAAGATCAACTGTAATTCTTCAAAGAAAAAATATGACTACCATTAATACAAGAAAAAGGCAGCTACCAAGTTTGAACTCAGTGGAAAAATAACTTGTTTCTGAGATACAAGGAAAAAATTAGTTTTCCATTATTTCGATTAGTTTCAGAAAAGAATGAGTGGCATTCATAATCCTCAAAATAACTTCCATTTCATATAAACACCTTCCATTTATATGAAGTAAAACACTCATATGCTAAATACATTATTTCCCATACATAAGGATAAAGGATAACACAAGGATATTATTTTTGTCTCTCCACCAAGATTTATTAGATACGCCGCCAAAGAATTTACAGCTGGCAGGTATCTGTGAAATCTGCCCTTATAGACAAAGCTCAAAAATTCTGGTTTGCTAATTCTGTAGTGGATATGAGAATAAAATGGAATCTGAACTCTAAGGAAGGTCCACAGGCTTCAGGGTAAAAAATACTAAACATCACAGCCCATGTTATAATCAAGATGTTGATAAAGAGATGTAAGCATTGAACCAAGCCAACTACTTTTTCTCCTCCTCTGCAAAATAATTACAAATAAAGTTGTATCCCTAAAGATTATTTACATCTCCTTAAAGGTGATTCTAGGTTCACTAAATATTTATGCATTTCCTGGAGTAAACTTAACTTCAGTGTTTTTTTGTAAAGTCTGACACTTTTCAGTTCAATTTTGGTAACTTGAGTTCATAAGTTCAAGTCTTGCATCGGGCTCTCTGGTGTCAGCACAAAGCCTGCTTGGGATCCTCTGTCCCTCTTCCGCTTGCGTGTGAGCTCTCTCAATGAACACTGGGGCACCTGGGTGGCTCAGTCAGTTAAGCGTGGCTCAGATCATGACCTCACGTTTCGTGAGTCTGAGTCCCACGTCAGGCTCTGTGCTGACAGTTTGGAGCCTGGAGCCTGCATTGGATTCTGTGTCTTCCTCTCTTTCTGCCCCTCCCTGCTCATGCTCTCTCTCTCAAAAACAGATAAACACCAAAAAAATTGTTTTTTCATGACATTCTTGGGGCGCCTAGGTGGCTCAGTGGTTAAGCATCCAACTTCAGCCTAGGTCATGATCTTGCTGTTCCCGAGTTCAAGCCCCATATCAGGCTCTGTGCTGACAGCTCAGAGCCTGGAGTCTTCAGATTCTGTGTCTCCTCTCTCTCTCTGCTGCTCCTCCATTCAGGCTCTGTCTCCCTCTCAAAAATAAACATTAAAAAAAAATTTTTTAATGACATTTTTGGGGCACCTGGGTGTGGCTCAGTCAGTTAAGTGTCCAACTTCAGGTCATGATCTCACGGTTCATGGGTTTGGGCCCCCCATGGGGCTCTGTGCTGACAGCTCAAGGCCTGGAGCCTGCTTCAGATTCTGTGTCTCCCTCTCCCTCTGCCCTCCACTATTTGCACTGTCTCTAGCTCTCAAAAATGAGTAAATGTTAAAAAAAATTTTTTGTTGTTGTTTAAATGACATGCTTTAGAGGCACCTAGGTGGTTCAGTTGGTTAAGCGTCAGACTTTTGGTTTTGGCTCAGATCATAATCTTGAAGTTTTCTGAGTTCAAGCCCAGAATTGGGCTCTGCACTGACAGTGTGGAGCCTGCTTGGGATTCTCTCTCTCCTCTCTCTCAAAATAAATAAATAAACTTTAAAAAAAGTTTAAACTTACCAAAACTATGTCAGACTGCCACTAAGAGAGGATTAGTAGAAATTCAGTTCTTGCAGTATTTCCTCAATGATATTTTGTGAATCAAAATTTTAAAACAGTATTTTAACTTGGCATTATTAATTCTAAATACTTATATTTAGACAGAAAAGTGTTAGGAATTTTATTAGTGATGTCTCCAATACACATAAATATAAGAAAAATGAGCGTGAAGTATTTATGGTAGATTCTTTTAAGCTATTATTCCTGCTACCCCTCAGCTAACCGAAACTGTCTTAAGACTCTAGATGTGAAATCTCTGGACTCATTCATTTAGTCAAGCATTTGTAGTTGCAGCACCTCCTATGCAGCCAAGTGCTATGCTAATCCTATCTGACTTTTCTCTTTCCCTCATCTCTCATATCCCATTTGTGGCCAAGTCCCATCAATGCAGATGTATCCCACTTCTTCCCTTCCCAAATGCTTGCAGCTGAGGTCAGGTCCTCATTAACATTTAAAATAATAATCTCCAAACGTGCACCAAATAGAAGATTATGGATGATTGTGGAGTCACCAAAACTACTCATAAATAGTGTATAATGTTAAGAAACTCATTCAAGTAGGGGGGCCTGCCATGACTCAGTCCGTTATGCTGACAGCTCAGAGCCAGAAGCCTGCTTCAGATGCTGTCTCCCTCTCTCTACCGTGCTAATGTCTCTGTCTCTCAAAAGTCAACAAATGTTAAAAAAAAAAAAAAAACTTTTTTAAAGAAAAAAAGTCAAAGAAACTCATTCAAGTAAAAAGCAGGGGTATGAAACTATACAGAGTACAATCACAACAATATGAAAAAAAAAAGAATTCCATAAAAAAAAAGATGAAGGAAATTAACTGAAACACTATGAATCTCCGGCCTGATGAGTACTTTCCCTTTACTTTTCCACTTCTTGCAAATTTTCTACAGTAAGCAGCTATTAACTCTAAAAAAAAAAAGAGTTTTTTTAAAAAGCTTACTATTTTGGTTGGATAACAAATTATTCCTGAGATTTAAAATTACACAACATTAGAAATATCCAAAATAAACACCAAAGCATGCAACTGTCTAATCCTTTGACCTAGATGCTCTTTAAAAACAAAAAGGCACAGGGGCGCCTTGCTGGCTCAGTCAGTGGAGCATGCGACTCAGTCTCAGGCTTGTGAGTTCAAGCACCGTGTTGAGAGTAGAGATTACTTAAAAAAAAAAAAAAAATCTTAAAATCAAAAAGGCACTCAACCATGTTAATTTCTACATGCTAATGTAACATGCTACATGTTAATTTCTAATTTCTAATTTCGATGTCCCAATGAGATTCCAAAGTCAGCTTTCACAAAATAAGCTGCTTTTACCAACTATTCTCCATTATTCCTCAATTTTCAAAACTTCAGTGATTTACTTTCTCCTAAAACCATAATTCTCAATTTTTCCTTCAAAAGCATCACAGATTTGCCCTTTTCTCTCCCATACCACTGGTACCTGCAGTTATCTTTTCTCTAGCCATCTATCTTGAGTACAACTAGTAATATTTACACACTGCTCTTATAAAATGACTTGTTTTTGGGGGGTGTCTGGGGGCTCAGTCAGTTAAGTATCTGATTCTGGCTCACGTCATGATCTCATAGTTCATGGTTTTGAGCTCTACATCGGGCTCTCTGATGACAGCTCAGAGCCTGGAGCCTGCTTCAGATTCTGTGTCTCCATCTCTCTGCCCCTCTTCTGCTCAACTCTCTCTCTCTCTCAAAAATAAACATTAAAAACATGTTTGAATGACTTGTCTTTTTGAAATCTTCGATGGCTTCTATTTGACTCATGTTTAAATCCTTCAGCCTGTTGTTGAACCACAAATCTGCATTCCGCCTCACATCTTTCTTTAAACTAGAACTACACAGTTCTTTGGATTTACATGTCTACTCTGTTTTCACCAGGTTATTCCTAATTTTCCACCTCAAATGACCTTCCTCTGCCCCTGTCTGAAGTCCAAGCTCAAAGTGCAGTTCAAGTCCTACCTCTTCCACGAATCATTCTTTAAGTATCCCAGCCTGGGGTGCATAGGTGACTCAGTTGGTTAAGCGTCTGCCTTTGGCTCAGGTCACAATCTCACAGGTTCTTGAGTTCAAGCCCCACATTGGGCTCTCTGCTGTCCCTGCAGAGCTGGCTTCAGATGCTCTGTTCCCCACTCTCTCTGCTCCTCCCCCGCTCATGCACAGGCATATGAACTCTCCCTCTCAAAAAAAAAAAAAAAGTATTCCAGCCTACCCTGACACCTCTTCTGACTCCCCTATTGTACTTAGTACTGCAAAGTCTAACAACCGTTCTGTGATTATTGTGCATATGTTGGTTTTGTTTCCCAAGTAAGATACCACAGGGCACAGAGGGCAGATACCAAGAAGGTCAGAGAAAATAAATAAATGATTAATACTAAATGTATAAAATGTTTTCTACACTCATGCTCCAAACTATTTCTAAGTCACCTTGTTTGAAGTTCCCGGAGTTAAAAAGTAAATGTGTCGTGTATTTATTTTTATACTGTCAAGATTTAAAGCCTACAACTTATCAGGAAAAAAACAATCAGATAAAAGTTTAATTTTCAGCTCTTGCTTCAGTTTATCTAGTGTAATCCAGTACTTTAGGAATAAAGTAGAATTGTGCATTTCTATGTCTTCTGCCCCTTGTACAAATATCCCCAAGTTAACAAACATGGAAAGCAGATTGAAAAAAAATTATATGGCTAATATGTTTGTTCATTCCAAAAAGATCAACAAAACACAGGCTTAACACCCAACCATTTGACAGAAGTTTTTCTGACCAACCTGGGAAATAATTATTGAACTATGAAAGCAGTTTTGTTAAGAGAAACAATGTAGGTTCTATCCCTTACCATGCCCAATTCTTCCTATCCATCTTTCTTTTCTCAAGTTTAAGTCCACGTCCACTTTCTTTGAAATTCTAACATTCCCATTCTACCAAATTATTAACAAAACTGGCAAAATGGGAAAGTATTTTTCTGGGAATGTCTGTTGGCTTCCCAAAACAATCCAGAAAAGAGCATCTTTTTAATTATTAATAAATCTAATGTAGGATTTGTAATTTTAAGTTACCTGAGGCATGCCTCCCCTGATTCTGTGGCATTCTTTGGAAGAGATCGTGGTTGTATTCATAATATCTATAGTCTTCATGTACACGATCTCCAAGTGGGCGCCTTCTCTGACCATCAAAATAATTATCTGAATAATAATATCGGGAACCAGAGTCTCCATTTTCAACAGCAAAATTAACTTCTGTTAAAAATGACTGAGAAGATCCATACTCCCTAGGGACATCTGCTAGACTCCTGGCAAGATAAGAAGGTGCAGATAATCTGTTGCTTTCTCTTCTCATTATTTCATGAGGTGTTCTTTGAATTGGAGTTCTAAGAAAACTCTGGTTTCTTGAAACTATTCCATCACCAGAAGCTGAAAAGGCATTTGGGCTTGATTCTGGCAAACAGATATCAGTTCGTCTTGGAATTGTTGGACCGTGTCGAATAAATGAAGGCATGAGATCTACAATAAAACAAAGAGTAAAATGACCACTTCATTAAGGAATTAAATACACTTTTCAAAAGCTGTTCATTTACACCTATTACCCCAAAATGCAAAATTTCAATGGACTCAAGCACACATCATTTAAAATTCTGACTTAAGATAGTACTTGGGTATTTAAAAATTAATGCTAATTAATATTTTCCCACTCAAATGAACTTATAATTTATATCAACGGGGTATGTGTAAACTTAGAATCAAATGTATTCTGCATACCACCACACAAAACAAGATGAAATGTCAGTAAGCTTAATTATGGTTAATACTCATTAATAAATGTGTAAAAATTGGGGCGTCTGGGTGGCTCACTCGGTTGGGCGGATGACTTTGGCTCAGGTCATGATCTCACAGTCCATTAGTCTGTGAGTTCGAGCCCTGAGTCAGTCTCTGTGCTGACAGCTCAGGGCCTGGAGCTTGCCTTGAGTTGTGTGTCTCCTTCTCTCCCTGCACATCCTCCACTTGCACTCTGTCTCTGTCTCTCTCTCTCTCAAAAATAAACATTAAAAAAAATTTAATAAATGTGTAAAAATAGGAAACAATCTAACAAACAGATAAAATTACCAGTATAATTTAAGATTTTTTTGTTGTTGATTTCAGTTCATTTTCAAAATTCCCAAAAATCCTTTTTCAAGCAAACACAATTTCAAGAATAAAACAAAACATATGCCATTCCCAAACATGTAAAAAAAAAAAAAAAAAAAACTTTAATTAACCTGGTTTCCTTTTGGATTACGTGGCACTAGTACATTAGTACACTAATCAAAAGCTGGAGAGCCAAAAAGTTAGCTATGAAAATTAAAAAATAAAAAGATCTCATTTCAAAGAGGCACACAAATGTTGAATCAGTTCAAAAATGCCAAGCCTCAAACTATGGCTCCCTTAAGAACAAGTAATTATAATTTAAAACAAAAGATAACAGAACAATGGCCTTCAGGATATAGTACTTCTGAATACAGAACTTACATGGCTTAGACACGCCAGGTTAGAAAGCAAATTAACTTTATAACAAAAAGAAAACTAGATTTGGAAACTTTTATTAGCTAAGTAAACAATTAAATTAGAGAGCACTAATATTAAGCTTTAGAAGCTAACTCTAGAAAATCAATATTCAAATAAGCATGCTCAAAACTCGATGAAATTAAAAAATACTACATCATTATTTGCTTTAAAGTATGGCAAACGTGGGGCACCTGGGTGGCTCAGTCGGTTAAGCGTCTGACTTCAGCTCAGGTCATGATCTCATGGTCCGTGAGTTCGAGCCTCAGAGCCTGTTTCAGCTCAGAGCCTGTTTCAGATTCTGTGTCTCCCTCTATCTCTGACCCTCCCCCATTCATGCTCTGTCTCTAAAATAAATAAACGTTAAAAAAAAAAAAGTATGACAAACATATTTCATGATTTCAAGTAATGTTTAATAAAGTTTATTTGCAGCAAACTGCAACCTATCATAAATTTAACCAAAAACCTAAAAGCATATGTAACTGAAAAATAAACTGCTAAAAAAAGGTTTAAAAATCAACTTTCATGGGCACCGAGCTGGCTCAGCAGGAAGAGCAAGCAGCTCTTGATTTGTGGGGTCATGATTTCCAGACCCACATTGGGTGTACAGATTACTTAAATAAACTTAAAAAATAAATAAATAAAAATCAATTTTCAGGTTACTGATGCATCCATCTAATCTATTTTGATGTTCTACCAAGAAAGAACTGCAAATACAAGAATAAATTTCCAAAGCAGATGATGTGGTTATTATTTTTTAAAAAACATGCTCCATGCCTGGTGGCTCAGTTGGTTAAGCGTCCTGTCTTGACTTCGGCTCAGATTATGATCTCACAGTTATGTGAGTTCGAGCCCGACATCAGGCTCTGTGCTGTCAGCACGGAGCCTGCTTGGGATTCTTTCTTTCTTTCTCTCTCTCTCTCTCTCTTTCCCACCCCACCCCCGCGCCCGACTTGCGCTCTCTCTCGAAATAAGTAACTAAACTTAAAAAAAAATGCTCTCCACACCTCTCTGCGTGATCCTGGATAAATACTAGGAACCTCTATGAACAGCTTTCCCAATTACAGTATGAAGTAATTAATGGTTAAGTCATAAGGTTATTAGGAACTTCCAAAAAGTACACTTACACAAGTGCTCAGTATGCAGTATAAACATCAAAATATTAGTTCCTTACTTCACAAATGTCCTGAACACACAAGCAAAAATTAAAAATTAAAAAGATTCAGCTGAAAAATGAGAGTCAAATACCTGAATTGAAAAGTGATGGGGAGGTGGAGAGAAATACAAACTATTAAAAAAAAAAAAAAAAACTTCCTGGCAATTTCTCCTAAAATACGATAGAAATCATTTTCAGTACTTCGCCTTTTTTGGAGTGGCGGGGGGGGGGGGGGGGGGGGGGGTGGGGAGGGTGTTATTTGAAGCAATTCTCACGAATATACCCAAATACACATGATTTTGGCTTCTCTAAGATCTAGGATTGATGAGGCTTTGGGAAGCGGCTACAATAGCGACGGTCAACTGTCACCTCTTCACATGTCTGCATCCAACAGAAGGGCTAAGGAATTCTACTCGGGTTTGCACAACTCCCAGCACGGACGAGTAACACCCGAAATGTTTGCAAACACAAGGCATATCGTGAAGTATCTAGAAGAGGAAAACGTATGCCCCAGTCTAATCACTTTCACCCCCATAGCATCAGGCAATCGGCAGCCTAAGTGTTTCCTTAAGAACCTCTTGCTTCCAGTAATCAAAACGAAACAACACTCTGCCATGGGGGGACAGGAAAGTTTGTTGTTTTTAGGAAGGCCCACGGAGGAGGGACTAATCTAAGTTTCTTATACTGTATCGGCTTTTAAACGATGACCACCACTTTGGGCACACAAAACATTAAAGAACAGTATTTCATAGAGACCAGTAGGGAAGAAAAGCCGCGGGAAGCCGCGTCGGGAGCCCCGCCTGGCCCCCCGCAGCCGCTCGGGCCAGGTGTGGGTGCGCCCCGCCCGACACTCACTCCGCAGCAGAGGCGACGTCTCCTTCTTCACGTACTTGCCCTGCACCTCGGCGGGCTTGGACACTTCGTTTTTGGTCTTCTTTCGGGACAGCATCCTTGTCGACGAGGCCCCAGGCCGCGCGAAGCAGCCTCTTTAGGGCTCCGCGCAGGGTGCCGGTCGGCCCCGCCGCCACCTCCGCCGGCGCCGCCGCCTCCTTCCCTCCCGAGCCGCCGCCGCCGCCGCCGCCGCCTCTCCGCAGCCCGGGGTCGCCCGCAGGGACTGCCGCATGTTCGGGGCGCTAAGCGCGCCGGCCACAGCTCAGTCGCCTGTCAGTCCCTTCCCGGATATCTGCCCACTCCGCGATGCTGCCCTAGAACTCTGTGAGCAGAGGCCAGAAACGCCCGGCCAGGGCCATGGTCCGCCGCCGGCCGCCTAGTAACCGCTACCGCCGCCGCCGCCGCCGCCGCCACCGCCTACGTCCCGTAAACTTTCCCCGCGGCCGCTGGGAATTCTGGGAAACTCGACGCTGCGCGAGCGCCGCCACCGCCCTTCCCCCACCCCAGGTCCGGGGCGCGGCTCAAGCTGCGGGACGCCGGGAGGCGCTGTCAGCTAACGGGCCCGTCCCACTGTCTCCTCGGAGGAGAAGCGGGTCCTGCGGGCCGCAGAGGACTGAGGACGAAGTCCGCCAGACTGAGCGCAGAGGCCGTCTCACGCTCTTGCTGTGGAACCACTTCTACACCACAGATTTTCCCCCAGGACCTTGAGGGAGCGGGCGACGCCCCCCTACGCGTTCCCGTCGTCATCCTAGAGTGAGGACGTCCCTCTTGGAGTTTGTTGGACTGGTAAATTCAGGTCCCTGCTAACGCAGAATGCGAACAGAGTTGAAGGACCACAACGCTCCGGCTAGTGCGGTGACAAAAAATTCAAGGTGCCCCTTTTAATTGGGAACATTAATCTGTCCATTACTGGTTAAATATAAATCAGTCGTCTCCTGTATGCCAGGGTGCGTCTTTCTGATAAAGGAAAAACGGAGGAAAACAGCAAAATGGAGTTTAAACTACCTCTTCTATAAATTTGATGTTCGCATAGTATTTATCATCGCTCTCTTTGTTACATTTAATAGCACATAATTCCTCTTGGAATTAAATATTACAATCTTAGAATTTGTTTAGCGTATTAAGCACTAAAAGGTCAAGACCTAAAATTTTTAATTTAAAACAGAACTTAGTTTCTTTTGTGTAACTTAGAGGCGCTCCCAAATGTATGCAATAATATTTGAGAAATAAGGGGATCCATCCCCTAAGGAGCAGATTAAGGCTTGGATGATGGAGAATGCTTTCCCTGAGATTGAAAGTGTGTTAGATGTAAAACAATTAAAAAGCAAGGATTTTTTTTTTTTACTTAAGATTAGGAAGATGGTCACATTTTGTTTTGCCATAAACAATCAAATAAGACGTTTTATCTAGTGTCTGTCTCCATCTTTGAATGCTGTTATGCTCCTTTGCTACAGTTTCTCACGATTAATAACCAACAAATAATTATTGAGCATCCACTGTGCTAGGCACCGTTCTAAATGATTGGAATATAGCAATAGACAAAACAGACAAGAATCCCTACTCCCATGGGGAAGAGAGACAATAGAGAAAAATAAGTAAAACGTACTGTGCTAATTTTTACATAGTAATAAGTGTGGAAGTGAAAATAAAACAAGAAAAAGAGGTTTTGTGATTTTAGGCAGTGTGGTAAAATAACACAGAAGGCTCATGAGAAAGAGATGTTGGAGTTAATTGGCAAATTGGAGGACTGGTAAGTCAGTCTATGTCGCTGGAGTAGAGGCGGAGAATAGTGGGAATTAAGTTAGCGAGGTAACAATGGCTAGGACATCTAGGGCCTTTTAGGGCATTGCAAAGAATTTCACTTTGAGCAGAGGAGTGACGTCGATCTAACTTAATGTTTTAGTAAGATCACTTTGGATGCTGTGTTGAGCATGGATCGAAAGGGAACAAAGGTAAAAGTAAAAAGATAGAAGCTATTACTGGCTTGGACCAGGGTAACAGTAGAGATGATAAGAAGCACTCATGTTTTGGGCATATCTTAAAGACGGAGCCAAGAGGCGCCTGGGTGGCTTACTCAGTTGAGCATCCGACTCTTGATTTCAGCTTGGGTCATGATCCCAGGGTCGTGGGATCAAGCCCACTTTGGGCTCTGTACTGAGCATGGAGCCTGCTTAAGATTCTCTCTCTCTCTCTCTCTCTCTCTCTCTCTTTTGCAAATAAAAAAGGACCAAGCCAACAGGATTTGTTGACAAATTGAATATGAAGTGTGAGAGAAAGAAATCAAGGATCACTCCTGTACATATGTAAATCTTAATGATAGAACAGAACTCCATAAATAGGAGAGTAGACACTGAGAAGAACATGAGAAAAGCCATGATTTGTTCCTGTGGTTCAGGTAGTAAGGCCCAGTACTAAAAACTGTTGGTCGTGTGGATGGGGGAGTGATGAAACAGATGAGGAGACACTGGGGTTTTGTTATAGATAGGATATGAGGCTGGGAGAGATGAAGGAGGGACAGGGGCATTCAAAGAGCCAGGTTTCTGCCCATGCCTTACCTCAGAAGGAGAAGAGAACAAAAGGATATTAGGACCTTGTTAATAACACCAGCTCTCTTACACCTGGAGTTTTCTCAAAGACTGAAACACAGGCTACCTTTTACATTGGTGGGGGAAGGAATCAGAATTTTATAGTTGGAAAAGAATTGAGATCTGCTAAGCTAACCTCATTTGATCCATGTGGAAACAAAACTAGAAAAATTAAGTTGTTTTGCCTCAGATTGTGTTCCTAGTGGCAGACTAGTCTCAGAACTGGGGTTTTCTGTTCCCATATTGCACCTCTTTCTGCTGTGGCACAATAAGAATCCCACTAAGTGAGCCCGGACTGTTTCTAACACAGTTGTTTTGAAAATCATCCATGTTCCCTACTAAGCACTCCTCTTTTCAATGCTATTTTAATTCTTTTAATTACAGTACAGAGAAAGTCTCAATTAGGTGCTCTTTTTAAGAGTTATAATTTGCCTTTTTATCAAGGAGTGTAAATTCCAGAATTAACAATCTGCAGACAGTCTCAGCAGTTGCAATGCATAACAGTATGTGAACTTTAAATACAAATTCTTAAATCCAGAGGCTTTGAATTCACATCTGTTTTCTAGAAATTCCTGGACTTCTGGGAGTTTTTATTAAGTAATCCAGACTTTGCAGCTATAGTTCCCCAGGCACTGCTTTTGATAAGGCTAATACTGTATTACAGAACAGAGATATTATCTCCCTTTCAGTTGCTTTCTCAGTAGAGAAAAGGGACAATTAGGGAGTTACCCAGGTCTTAACTTTATTAATTTAGCATTAAAATTTCTTTTAAAGAAGTGATAAGGTAGGACTCTGGGCTAACCTCATAGCTCCCTTGGTCTTAGTTTTCTCATCTGAAAATGAAGAAATTGGACAAGTTGAATTCCCAAAGTGTCTTTCAGCCCTACAGTTTTGTGCCACATCTGTAAGAAAGATATACAAAAACTAAAACAATTGCCCTAGTAGGATAATAGGCAGATAGGTGACTTCTCATCTTTAAAAATCTTTATCTTTATTGTTGTTTTCACTAAAACAAAAGTTAAAGTAAAAGTTACCATATCAGCATTATATAAAATTATTATTAGTATAAAAATAAAATTTCATGCCTGATTGCTATTTTCAAAGAGAGCCAATGTTCTTATGCTGTTTCTATTTTCTCTTGCTAGAAATGTGTAAAATTTGAAAAGGTGAACTATCTAATAAAAGATCAAGTAAGGACCAAATGAAGTAAGCCCTACATATGGAGCTTTGTCGCAGACTATGAATCTGGAGTTTTCTCTTGTCCAGCAAGAGAGTGGATGCAGAATTGAATATGATAGAGGCTAATATCCGGGAGGAGTCAAGAGACCAGAACGGCGTTTTCTTCTCCGTATTTATTGAGCTCTCAAGATCTTACACACATGGTGAAAGTGAAGAAAACAGTATCTTACACATGTGAATGTGGAGAAAACAATCAGATAGTAATCATTAACTTGTACGTGTAAGAAGCAAAGGGTTTAGGGGGCAAGTGGAATTTGTGATCAAAGTATATATTAGTGTCAGATAGAAAGTAATTTCCTGCAGGTGATATAACAAGTTGCTCGTGATCCCATTACAATACCTTGCTAGCTAACTTCAGGTGCTTTAGCTCCGTGGTGGCGGCTTTCCACCCTAAGCTTTTTATTTCCCCCATAGTACTTCTTCAAAAAAAAAAAAAAAAGGCGGGGGAGAGGATTGTCTACTCTCTGATTCACTCTTCTTGGTCATACAAGAGAAACTAAATCTGAATCAGGAGGAAGAAATAACTATACCAGAGTCTAGGGCTTTTCAGGCCTCCAAAGTTTTATTCTTAAAATCTGGAGGGTAATTTCCTGAGTACCTTTTTAGATAGAAGCTTCATTTGTTCCCTATGAAGGATAAAGATGTGTGATGTTTACACGGTAGTGAAAATATAAACACTTAATATTAGCATCTAAGTTGGGTTCCCAAACTCCTAGTGTCTGATGATTCCTTTCCCCCACCAAAATAATGTAGACAATTAGTATCATAAGTCTGATCAAAAAGGGTCAAGCTGTGTCCCTAAGTTTAGCTCTTATTCCTATATACTGTCATTGACTAGATTTAGAGGTCCTCTGAAACCTTGACAGGTAGCCAGAATGAGTCTTGTAGCTTGGCAGTGCTAGCCTTTGACTTCAATTGTCTGTCCTTATAGGTCTTTCTGGAGCTTTGCCTCTCTACCCCAAAATTGGGTCTTCAGCCACTTTTAGTTTTTACTTTTTTATAAAGGAATGAGAATCAGATTAGCATCAAATTTTTCATCATCAACAAAGACTGCTATAAACCAATGGAACAATGCCTTCAAATAAATGAGGAAAAATCAGTTTTAGTTTACAATTCTATATTCACTCAAAGTGTCAATCAAAAGCAAAAGGAGAGTAAAGACATTTGGGGAAATGAAAGAACTCAGAAAATGTACTTCCCATGTATCCTATCCTGGTAAATTACTGGAAGGTAAGTTCTAACAAAATGAGAGAATAAACCCTCACAAACAAAGAACAAAACAAAAAAAGAAAAATAAGGGATTAAAGAAGTAGTGAATCTAACCCAGGAGAGTAATGAATTTAAGTCTAAGTATCACAGTTAGACAACTGGAACTCAATCCAGATTGGAATTGGAATTAAGAGACCTCTAGGAGGAAGTACCTAGGAATAGATGGAATTAAAGAAATCTGTACAAATTAAGATGATAAAGGCTGAAGTTTCAGGGAAAAAAGAAAGAGAAACATGGAAAACTTGGAGGAATTCAGCACTAGTGGCTCTTCTGAAAAGGACCTACCTGAGGGTGAAATCCAACAAACCAAAAGATTTGCCAAAATTTAAAATCAGGATTGGAGGAGTAGTTGAAAATGGATTGATGCTAAGCATTAAATAGACTTTAATACAGAAAAACCTAAACAATTTTGGGAATTAAGATTTTAAAAAAATCAGACTTTGTCTTGCATTTTCTTCTGTCAATACATCTTTAAAACTTTTTACTTTAAAGAGCTTAGTACATTTAAAAACTCAATACAGATCTTGCATTTCATCAATACAAGTCTAAACGGGACAGTAAATATCAGGATCTTTTGCCTTTGGCTGGTGATGCTGTTTATTTACCTCATGCAGATCAGGACTGAGGAACTAGAAATAACAATGCAGACAAAGCAGATTCAGTGGAGTGAGCAAACTAGAGGGCATGGGCAGGAGGTTGTAGTCAGAGGGGAATTTTATGAGTTTTAAATGATAAGTTACCAATTGTGAAGCATTAGCCAGTAGATGAAGTAGAGTGGATGTAATGGAATTGAGAAAGCTAAGGAATATGAAGGCAGCATGTCAGAAGACATGCAATGTGATAAAAATAAACTATGAGCCATTGACAAAGGGTGAAGAGAATGTCTAGGAAATCAGTAGAAGAGGAAGAGGAAAGGGTAGTGTAAATAAAGGGCATAAAAATACCACATTTCTTCCTTATGATTAATGTATTACTCCAAGGCCTCTGATTTCCAGTAACTTCTATTGAGAAGTTATATTTGGAACTTCTGTTCTAAATCACTCAGTAGTAACATTCAAATACTGTATTTCTCTGATGTATTTCACTGTTTGATTCACAGTCCTGTACAGAAATTGATGTTTGGAATTTCCATAATAGTCTCCTCCAAATTTAGAGCATTTGTAGGCTTGATGCCAGGGCCTGATTATCTTATCCATGATTAATGAATAGAACTGAATGATCATCTCTGGCAACCAGGAGAGTTATCTTAATTATAGTATCAACAATTTTTCCAGTAACAACATTGATGATATTTCTTACTTGGGTAAGAATACAATGACTGAGAATACAGGGGGAATAAAGGAATTTCAAGCTACTTTCTTTATTGTCTCCATTTCTCTTACCCCATAAACACACATCATCCCTCACACAAAAACTCCCATCTAAATCCCAAATCTTAATGGGTTGTAATAGTATTGATAACTAATATTTGAACTGCTGACACTACTGAGTGCAATATGAAGATCCATGATGGACAGTGTAAATAAAGGACAAGCGTTTTAGCTTTTGTTAAGGATATGGAGAAATTCTTCCACAATCAAGTCAGTGATTGTCTCTCATGTGAATATCATTATAGTTGAATCCCTGTACACAGTTCCTTGGATTAAATTTTTAGAAGTAGAATCTCTGGGTTAGAGTGTGGTAGTTTATTTAGATGATGGCACTTCACAGATAATCCACATCCTAATCCCCAGAACCTGTGACTATGTTAACATAGTAAAAGGGACTTTACAGATGTGATTAAGCTAAGAATCTCAAGATGGGGAAAGTATCTTGGATTTTCCAGGTGGGCTCAACGTAATCACAAAGTCCTTATAAGAGTAGGAGGCAAAGTCATGATGGAAGCAAGAGGTTGGAGCGATGTAGGAAGTAGCTGTGAGCTAAGGAAAAGAGACGTAAGTAGCATCCATAAGCTGAAAAAGTCAAGGAAATTAATTCTCCCCTCAGAGCTTCGAAGAAGGAACCAGCCCTGCTGACATTTTGACTTTAGCCCAGCGAGACAGATTTTGAACGTCTAACTGTAAGTGATAAATTCGTTTTGTTTCCTGCCACTAAACTTGTGTTGATTTGTCAATAGGAAACTAATACAGACAATTTGGAAATAGCCTCACGGTTTTGATCACTGAATTTCCTGTCAGCATTGCATGGGAGTGTTTTTCTTTAATCCCTACTTTTTTTATATTCATGTCCTTTTTCATATAAGTGGGCTGTAAACTTTTCTAGAACATGGAATATGTCCTCTGCTTCTCTTTTCATCTCATACAAGTTTCCTGAACCTGATAAACCCACAAAAGTGTATATTAACAATGGTGATGAATTTCAGTAGAGTAAGAAGGCACTAAGGAAAAACTTGACCTGATTTTTTTTTTTTAAAGAAATGCATAAGTTTCACTCTGAGCCTTCTTAAGTATCATATCATGTGTTTTAGAGTTAAGGAAAAAAAGAAAAGCAAGTAGTAGGAGTAAATGTATCAGGAATCCCTAATATCTCATGCTGAAAGAACAAACTTATCAGACCCATTATATACTATTTTGTTACCAAAATGAGAGAAGCAATGGGAAAAAATTAAAGGAAAGAAATAGAAATCTCACACTATGCAGATAAATACAGCAGACACCTGAATGGAGATCAGGATTAACATTCTTCTCATTATTTTTCCACCTGTGTTGTAACACACGTTTCTATTGTTGCCCTTTATTTTTTTCTTAATGGCTTTGAGGTATAAATAACATAAATTAAAATGCATGTGTTTAAAGTATACAATTTGGTAAGTTTTGACATAAGTATAAAAGCTGAGAAACCATAACCACAACAAAAATAATGAAGATAGCCATCACCCCAAAAAGTTTCCTTTTCACCTTTGTATTCCCCCTTTCTGCTGCACACAACCTCCCATCTGATCTGCGTTGTTACTATAGATCAGATCGCAATGGCTTGAAGTTGTATAAATGAAGTTCTACAGTATGTACATGTTTTTCTCAAAATAAATATTTTGAGATTCGTCTATGTCGTGTGTACAATAATTCATTCCTCTTCGTTGGATTAGTAGTTCGTGGTTTAGACATAACCACAATTTGTTTATCCATTTATCTATTGATGGACATTTGGGTTGTTTTTAGTTATTGGCCATTAGAAGTAAAGCTGCTGTGAACATTCATGTACATGTCTTTATATGAACATGTGCTTTCATTTCTTTTGGTTAAATACGTAGGAAAGCAGTGTCTGGGTAATGTGATAGATATATTTCTAACTTTGTAAAAAAAACTGCCAGACTGTTATCCAAGGTGGTTTTACCATTTTGCAGTTTGAACATCAGGGTTTGTGAAAGTTCCAGCTAGTCCACATCCTTCCTTACACTTGTTCTGTTCATTTTCGGTTAGCCATTCTAATAAGTATGTAGTGATATCTCCCAGTGATTTTAATTAGCCTTTCTCTAATAACTTACCATGTTGACATTTCTTCACTCATATCTTATTTGGTGCCTATTTTTGCCTACTTGTTGAGTTTTGAGAGTTTATCATTCTTAATAAAAGTCTTTTAAAAGAGCGTTTGCTTCATATGACTTGCATGTGTTTAAATGTCTTGAGACTTGTTTAACAGCCCAAAACATGGTCTGTTTGGGTAAATGTTTCATGTGCACTTGAAAAACATGTGTATTCTGCTATCAGGTGGAATGTTCTATAAATGTTCATTCAGGTTTGCTGATAGTGCTTAAGTCTTCTACATCTATGGTAGGCAAATTAATAAAACCCCAAAGGTATCTATATCCTAATCCCATGATTGGTGAGTATGTTACTTTACATGGCAAAGGGGACTCTGCTGACATGATTAGGTTAAAAATATTGAGGTGGGAGAGTATTCTGGATGGTTCAGGTGGGTCCAGTTTCACCATATGGGCCCTTAAGAGCAGAGGAGTTTTCCCCATCTATAATCAGAAGAATCTGGGTCTATGGAAAAAGAGAAATTTAATGTTGCTTGCTTTGAAGACAAGGAGGGCCATGAGTCAAAAAAAAATGTGGGTGATCTCTAGAAGCTAGGAAAGGTAAAGAAATGAATTTTCCTAAATAATGCAGAAAGGAAGGTAACCCTGATGATAGCTTAATTTTAGCCCAATGAGACCTGTGTTAACATTTCTGACTTAACAGTACTGTAAGATAAATTTGTTTTGTTTAAGCTCCCAGATTTGTGGTAATTTGTTATAGCAGCAAGAGAAAAATAATACATTGGCCTATGTAATTAGTATTTGTTGTGCTCTTCTTCTTGTTATTGTTTACATCCAGATTTCCAATTGGTATCATCATTTTACCTATGTAAAACATTTAATATCCCTAATAGTGTAGGTCTACTGTTGATATAGTATTATAGCTTGTTTCTGTCTGGAAACGTCCTTTCACATTTTTAAACAATTTTTTGTTTTTATTTTTTCACTGGGTAAAGAATTCTAGATAAGAATCTTTACCTTTTTTTTAGTACTTTTAAAGATACTGTTCCAATACATAGCTTGCATTTTTTTTTTTTCTGATGAAAAATTTGTTGTCTTTACTTGTGTTCCTTTTTATGTAATAGGTCTTTTTCTTTGGCTCTGGAAAATGAGTGGGATATGGATTTATAAACCATGGGTTTATAAACATGTATTCTTTGGTGAGAAATAGATCAAATAACCAAGGTCGACAAAATTACATTTGTCTGTAGGCTAACTAGAAGTAACGTACAGTAATGGTTATCAAACTTTTTGGTCTCAGGACTACTTTACACTCTTAAAAATCATTGAATGCCTTAAAGAGATTTTGCTTATATGGATTATATCTATTAATATTAATGACCATGTTAGAATTGAAATGGAGGAAAAATTGTAAAGTGTTATTTTATAAGGCCATTATATCTTAACACAAATAACATTTTTTTGAAATGACCATATTTCCAAAACAATAGTGGTTATAAGAGTTACAAAGAAATCTCTTAAAAGGTACCTGGGTGGTTCAGTCAGTTGAGTCTTGGTTTCCAGCTCAGGTCGTGATCCTAGGGTCATGGGATTGAGCTCGTTGTCAGGCTCCATGCTGAACATGGAGCCTGCTTGGGATTCTCTCTCTGTCTCTCTGTCTGTCTCTCTGTCTCTCTCTCTCGTGCACACGTGCCAAAAAAAATTTTTTTTTCTTTAGGGATACCTGGCTTGCTCAGTCAGAACATATGATTCTTGATCTTGTGGGTCATGAGTTCAAACCCCACATTGGGCGTGGAGCCTACAAAAAATAAATAAAATAAAAAAATCTCTTTAAAGTCTGGGTTAATACATAATAGATAATCTCATCTGTTTTAAGTTTTTATTTATTTTGAGAACAAGAGACAGCACAAGTGGGAGAGGAGCGGAGAGAGAGGGAGACAGAATCCCTAGCAGGCTCCACACTGTCAGCACAGAGCCGGATGTGGGGCTTCAATCCACGAAATTGTGAGATCATGACCTCAGCCGAAACCAAGAGCTGGACGCTTAACCGACAGAGCCACCCAGGCACCCCTCTCATCTGTTTTTGCAATCTGATATATATATGCATTGTTTGGTTGAAGCCTGGCCTCACTTATTAAGTAGTTGGAAAGGGGGAGGGAAATACTTTAATAATCTTTTTCAGATGACTGTAGATATTAGTCACTGATTATATGAATTAGCCTAATTCAACAAATAGTAGTTTCTCACACGTAGGTTGTAGTGTGGAATCTGAAAGCATACCATTGAACTTTTTGGACTGTGCTACATTAGTATCTACCGTCTGTCCTAGACTTGGGATCTTTTATCTTGGTGAGATTTTATAACCTCATGCATTGGTCAAATACTGGTTACTAAGTTGTGCACATCTTCTAATTCTTACACATATCATTAGATAATATCTTAAAATCACATTCCTAAAGATCACCACTGATTTAATAGTCTTTAAATACCAGGAAGCTATTAAAGTCACCATGGCAGATACAATTTTTCAAAATTGTAACTTTCTCTTGAAAGCTTAAATTTCTCCATTGACAACAAATATAATCAGTTGTTGTTCTTGAACTTGTAGGCTCACCTCCCTCATTTTCAAGGAACTGTCCAGATATCAAAGTCTAGAATAACTAGTCTGTATGCCGATTCTTTTCTCCCCAGTTTTATTGAGGTACAACTGACATGTAAATTTGTAAGTTTAAGGTATACAACTTGATGATTTGATATATGTATAATTTTGAAATGATTAACATAATAAGTTATCACATCCATTACCTTATATGGTTACAGTGTGTGTGTGTGTGTGTGTGTGTGTGTGTGTGTGTGTGTAGTCAGAACTCTTAAGACTTAGTCACTTAGCAATTTTCAAATGTACAATACAGTTTTGTTAACTATAGTTACCGAGCTGGGTATTACATCCCCAAAATGAGTTCATCTTATAACTGAAAATCTGTCCCCTTTAACCCCCTTCACCCATTTCTTCCACCCCCACCATACCCCTGGCAACCACCAATCTACTCGGTTTCCATGAGTTTGGTGCCCCCCCTTTTATTTTTAGATTGTACATATGAAGGAGACCATATGGTATATATGTTGATCTATTTCACTTAGCACAGTGCTCTCAACATCTACCCATGTTGTCACAAATGGCAAGTTTTTCTTTTTTGTGTGTTTGTTTTTTGTTTTCATTTTTTTCTGGCTGAGCAATCCATGATACATACACACATATACCACATTTTGTTTATCCATTCCTCCCTTGATGGACACTAGGTTGCTTCATGTCTTGGCTATTAAATAATGCTGCAGTGCACATGAGGGTGCAGATATTTTTGACCTAGTGTTTTCATTTTCTTCAGATAAATATCTGGAAGTGGAATTGCCAGATCATATGGTAGGTCTACTTTTAGTTCTAATTCCAGTGTAATTAACATTTAGTGTTGTGTGAGTTTCATGTGTACAATATAGTGATTCAGCAATTCTGTACATTGCTCAGTGTTCATCATGATAAGTGTACTCTTAACCTTCTTCACCTATTTGACCCATCTCCC